GGGGGCGGTGGTTCTGATCTTGGGCTTGGGGTTGGGGGTGCTGGTCCTGGTCTAGTGGAGGCTGAGGGGCGAGCAGGGTGAGATCGGAGAAGAGGTCCTCGTCCAGAGGCTGGGAGGCGGCGCTGGACTCAGCGTCGGAGGCGGAGGCGGATGCGGCGGCGGGAGAGGGCGTGGGCGGCTTGGGGGGTTCGGGTGCCTCCTCGGCCTCGGCGGCTGCGGGGTCAGCGGGGGCGAAGAGGACCATGCCCTCGAAAAGCGAGTCGCCGCCGTCGCCCCACCCGCCGTCCTGCGACGCCATCGGCTCGGCGGCGAGCTCTCCGGGAATCTGCTGCGGCTGACGGGACGCGGGAGGGGGAGGACGCGGAGTGGACCTGTGCGTTAACGGGTGCTGCTCTAGACTCGACTCTAGCGGATCATAATACTCTGCTTTGGCTCCGATGCGGGGGAAACTCGGGTTGAACTTTTGTCGCGTGCGAGAAGATTAGACGAAGAAGCCAGCTGATTGCATGATCCTCCCCCCACACGGCAATCCATGTGCCGAGGCTCGACTCGAACCGCAAAGTGTGTCATCATCCTTATCAAGAAACCATAAACAACATCCTTCAAGAAACTAGTCATAAACAATCACATGGCACATGTGATAAGCAATCCAAACTTGATAAAAAAATCAGAGACAAAAATACACGCGTTTTCAATATCTGTCCGTCCCTCGGGAGGATTGGAGCAGCGTGTGATTCATTAGAAAGAGAGTATAACACTGAAGATAACACGACTTTACATCGTCAATGAAGATGCGACTCGAACAATGTAGCGATGTTTACGTCGTCGAGATGGCACGACTCACACAACACCAAAACAACCAACCATGACCCTGTGACCCAAATCCTAGTGGTCCAAAAGCAATACACGAGAGGTAAACACTTACGACATGGGGCAACGAGCTACACCGACAAATCAGACTAAACATGACCTCATTCACAGGAAAAAAGGAAAAAAGGACCAATCATGAGTAAAAAGTGTGTTTATCCTTTCTTTAGGAAGAGTGTATTTATGTTGTAGATGATATGTACAAACAAGTAGTTCGTGAGTCTTTTCCAAGACTTCACATGTAATATGTGGCATATAGTGCATAGTTATGAAATAAATTTTAGAACTCCACTGCTCCAACAGAGTGCATATGAGTTCATAGAAATATCCAGCCTGTTGCCGCGTAATTCGATAGTATTTTATGTATTGTATAGAATAATAAATTCATTCTTATGATTTAAATATATGAGAAGTTTGTGTAAAGCTAAAACACAAAAAACTTAACATAATAGTAGTTTAGATATCACAGCTGAATGCAATGGGATTTAAAATGTACTTGTAGTGTACTAATGCATAGCAAAAATAGCTTGAAAATGGGTTTGCCTATATAAGACATATGGACTCCACTATTCCAATTGTATTCTTTTGATTTTGTAACACCACTTTGAATTGCATGGATTTGAAGCGTTTTTTTTTACCCTGTGACCGTAGAACAATTGTTCTACGGTATTTTCATTAAATGTAATATATACAAAGTACAAAAACCAACCACAAATCACCCAATGCCAGTTCTAGGTATCATAATAGAATGAATTACAGGGTCTGTTCAATCCACTGATCTATCTTTGCAGCCTTGGCTTCCTTCGTTCTGAGTTTAATGTGTTGCATGCCGTCCTGAACATAGAATTTCCAGGTATTCAAACTAGGTGGAGTAGATCTGAATATCTTATCATTCCTGACCATCCATATTCCCCAGCGGCCCATGGTAATGATCTCCATAGCCAAATCTTGGGGAAGATGCTTAATCATCAGTCCAACCTCATCATAGGTCGAAATACCCCTCTGTCTGTTGGGAGAATACAATTCCAGCAGTTAAGTGCAAAGTGGCAGTCCCAGAACAGGTGAATTAAAGTTTATTGGGTTCTGTGCAAGCAAAGAGCGCAGTTGTAGTCAGGCAGGTGCATGTTTTTTCTGTGTAGCAGATTCCTTGTACTAACTCTGTCATAGAGTAGCATCCAAAAGAAAATCTTGTGCGTTAGTCTGCAATTCGATTTCCATAACTGCCTGAAGATGAAGTGTGCTTTATTCTTGTCAATCAGATTATTGCACATCTTCATAGCTGAGAAGGTTGGTGAGGCCCAGTTATATCTCCACTTATCAGTGTCCTTAGTGAGAATCAGACCATGCAGTTGATCTTGAAAGAGGTTGAATTGGTTAAAAGCCTGTTGAGAGAGAGGTCGGTGGAAACAGGTCTCCAGTTCCTGTTGCTCTAGCATTTGGTTCATTGTGATGTCTTTGTTGATGACAAAAGAATAGAGTTCAGGCATCTTTAGATGGAGTGGTAGGTCCGACCAATTATCACGCCAAAACAGAATAGTCTCCCCCTTTCCTGGTATGCATCTAGCATGTTTCTTCTATTCAGGCAAAGTCTGCAGAATGCCTTTCCACCAGAAAGAACCCAACAATTTGTTACTCGGCAGACCATCTTGGTAATAGGTTCCCATAAAATCTTGACCCAAGGTGTGTCATCTTTGTTGAAAAACTTATGCAAGAATTTCATAAGCAGGGCCTGATTATGCTTATAGATATCTAGGACTCCCAGGCCACCATGCGATTTGGGCTGACAAACCTTATCCCAAGAGACCAGAACCATACCTCTATCCTGAGTGCCAAATTTCCTCCAGAAACAGTTCATAAGATAAGAATTAATCTGCTTGACCACTGTTTTAGGGATCCAAAGTGTGCACATAACAAAAGTGGGCATGCTGGTGAAGACAGATTTAATGAGGGTCAATTTGTCACCAAAGGATAGCAAGGTAGAGCAACTCAATAGCCTTGATTCAATCCTTTGTAACATTGGGAGAAAATCCACAATCTTGGGCTTAGTATGACACAAAGGAAGACCCAGATATTTGTGTGGCAAAGCTCCAATCTGACAGCCCAATAACTGAGAAAGAGTGTCCATCTTGTCCTAGGGGGTGTTGATTGCAATGAGAGTTGACTTTGAGTAGTTCACTTTGAGCCCAGTGTATGCAGCATAATGGAGCAGAAGGTTTTTGATGTGTTCTAGCTGCCTACTATCAGCATTGGCCACCAGAATAGTGTCATCAGCATACTGAATGATAGGGTAGTCAGGGCATGAATGATGTATCAATGGAGAATGTAGTAAATTGTTGTGCATGGCTTCATTCATCATGGTTTAAGGTAGATCAGCAGCAATCACAAAGATGAGGGGTGATAAGGGGTCACCTTGTCTAACACCCTTCTTATAGAGAAACTGTTTACCTGGAACTCCATTGAGAAGGACTGAGGAAAACCCAGACCCATAGATCATTTGTATCCAGTGAATCCACCTAGGTCCAAAACCCTTAGCTCTCATGATCTGGATGATGGTGTTATGATTAAGCATGTCAAATGCCTTCTCAAATCAAGCTTTAATAAGACCAATTCTTTTTTGCTTTGAAAACATTGATGGATATATTCATAAGACCATGCAAGGCAATCCTGGATGCATCTATTATTCAAGAATCCACACTGGTTGGTGTGGACCAATTTGAGGATAACTTTTTGCAGTCTATTGGCCAACAGCTTGGTTATGATCTTGAGTGTGCAGTTGAGCAAGGAGATGGGTCTAAAATCAGATGGTCCAGAAGCAGCATCTATTTTGGGGATTAGAGTGATAAAGGAATAATTGATGCTTTGAATATTTACATTGCCATGGTAGAAATCATGAATGAGCCTGTAAAAATCAACAGCAACAATATCCCAACATGCCTTAAGGAAAGCTGCATTAAAACCATCTGGCCCAGGTGACTTGTCTAATGGCATATGGTTTACCATCTCATCAATCTCCTTGTTGGTGAATGGAATTTCTAGCTCTGATAAATCAACTGAAGCATGCAGAAGCTCATGAAGGTTGAGGGGATTCTCAGAAGGGATTTTTGTGCCCAGCCTGTCTCTGAATGCTCTGAAAAGGATAGCTGCCTTAGCCTGGTGATCATGAAATTCATTATCAGTTTCATCTATGAGCATAGCAATACAATTGTTTTTGTGTTTGATTGTGGCCTTGGCTTGAAAATATTTGGTATTGGCCTCCCCCATCTGAATTTGTCTAATGGTGGCTCTCCGTTTCCAATAAATTCTGTGATGATCAAGTAGTTGAGCAATATGCTCCTTAAGGATTCTCCTCCCATTTGATTCCTCTGTGGTAAGTGGCCTGAATTCTTCAAAATGATCATAGCAGAGGATAAGGAAAATAGTATCTGCAATAGTGCTCTTCAGGTCTGAGAGTTGTCTGGCCCAAATCTTCAGCCCTTTTCTTAATCTTTTGAATTTGGTTGCAATAGTTTTGGCACTATCCACTTCATTCACATCTTGTGACCAGATAGATTTGTGTTGGGGAACGTAGTAATTTCAAAAAAAATCCTATGCACACGCAAGATCATGGTGATGCATAGCAACAAGAGGGGAGAGTGTTGTCCATGTACCCTCGTAGACCGAAAGCGGAAGCGTTAGCACAACGCGGTTGATGTAGTCGTACGTCTTCACGGCCCGACCGATCAAGCACCGAAACTATGACACCTCCGAGTTCTAGCACACGTTCAGCTCGATGACGATCCCGGACTCCGATCCAGCAGAATGTCGGGGAAGAGTTCCGTCAGCACGATGGCGTGGTGACGATCTTGATGTTCTACCGTCGCAGGGCTTCGCCTAAGCACCGCTATAATATTATCGAGGATTATGGTGGAGGAGGGCACCGCACACGGCTAATAGATCTCAAGGATCAATTGTTGTGTCTATGGGGTGCCCCCTGGCCACGTATATAAAGGAGTGGAGGAGGGGGGAGAGGGCCGGCCCCTATGGCGCGCCCTGGAGGAGTCCTACTCCCACCAGGAGTAGGATTCCCCCCTTCCAAGTAGTAGGAGTAGGAGTCAAGGCAAGGGAAGGGAGAAGAGAAGGAAGGAGGGGGCGCAGCCCCTCCCCCTAGTCCAATTCGGACTAGGCCTTGGGGGGCGCCCAACCTCTCTTCTCTCTTTCCCCTAAAGCCCAATAAGGCCCATATACTCCCCGGCAAATTTCCGTAACTCTTCGGTACTCCGAAAAATACCCGAATCACTCGGAACCTTTACGATGTCTGAATATAGTCGTCCAATATATCGATCTTTACGTCTCGACCATTTCGAGACTCCTCATCATGTCCCCGATCTCATCCGGGACTCCGAACTCCTTCGGTACATCAAAACTCATAAACTCATAATATAACTGTCATCGAAACCTTAAGCGTGCGGACCCTACGGGTTCGAGAACAATGTAGACATGACCGAGACACGTCTCCGGTCAATAACCAATAGCGGAACCTGGATGCTCATATTGGCTCCCACATATTCTACGAAGATCTTTATCGGTCAGACCGCATAACAACATACGTTGTTCCCTTTGTCATCGATATGTTACTTGCCCGAGATTCGATCGTCGGTATCTCAATACCTAGTTCAATCTCGTTACCGGCAAGTCTCTTTACTCGTTCCGTAATACATCATCCTGCAACTAACTCATTAGTTGCAATACTTGCAAGGCTTAAGTGATGTGCATTACCGAGAGGGCCCAGAGATAACTCTCCGACAATCGGAGTGACAAATCCTAATCTCGAAATACGCCAACCCAACAAGTACCTTCGGAGACACCTGTAGAGCACCTTTATAATCACTCAGTTATGTTGTGATGTTTGGTGGCACATGAAGTGTTCCTCTGGT